AAGGGCTTCTCTACATGGGAAATACCACAGTTAAAATAATCATCATCAGTCCTAGCTTTTATCCAATGCTTTTCACCTGTAGGTCACAAAGCACTTTGCAAAGAGGGCAGGATCATTATCCCCATTTTACAGCTTGGGGAAGTGATTTGCCCAAGGTCACCCAGCTGGCCAGTGGCCAAGCTGGGACTAGAAACCAGGCCTCCTGAGACGCAGTGCTCTGCTCACTAGGTACAGTCACTCCCCATGTGAGCACTCTATTCAGGAACAGAATAGAGGGGAGCTATTCTGCAATAGCTATCGTGGTTGATTTCCCCAGAGGGCTGCAAAGTCATTGGAGGAAGGTATTGAGGCTACTATTCCTGCATTAGCCCCAGGCCACTGCCAGATTGGCCCCCGTTTGACGGCTGGCACCATGGCATCGTAACCTCCAGCGTGGGACATGCTCTACTCTCCACAGGACCTTTGGGGGCGGGGGCAGTAACACAGCTCTGCTCAGATCTTTACTGCTATGCTCATCCGCCTAGGAGGCTGAACTTTGCCCCAGCTAGAGCAGGCCAAGCGTAACCAGTGAACCTCCAGCCTGTTCCCTCTGGAGGAGGAAGGCAGCCAACGGGTTGGTTGGTGATTAAACCAGGCCTTATGGGGCCTGTCTGTGCTCCGATCCACAGAGAGACCGACCCAAAGTCCCTGCTCAGACCCCCAAGTGGGGAACCCCTGGAACAGGGTTCTCCTGTTTAGACACCAGCTGCAGCTCTGGATTTCCCAGCCTCAGCAAATGGCCCAAGGAGACCAGGCCCATCCCCCTGCCAACACAATGCCTCTCAGATGGAGCTCAACTTCTCAAGATGGCATCTACCAAGGAGAGACATCACATGGCACAAACAATGGGAGAGCGACTATGGGAAATACGCTAGTTGCCCCACTGCCCTCCCAAGCTACAAAGAGCAGGTCATGAGAATGCCCCAATGACCCGCCTGCTCCTTGTGCCCCATCAGTCACACCCTGACAAGGTCCCCATGCCAGGACAGATCTGGGATTGTATCCAAGGGGTGGGGAACTGTCCCTATGTGCCATATCCGACTCAGACCCTGGTAACCCCCCTCCCCCAGGGCGGGACAGGATTGTTTCCCAAGAGGGTGGACGGACCTGCTACCCATCCAGATCCCCTCCCTTTGCCTGCCCTCCCACTCTCACTGCCGGTTCGGGACTCCAGCCCTCCGAGGAATAAAAATAAAATTAATCCCCTTCTCTCTCTCCCCTCCAAGCGTTTTATCTCCTCTTCCCCTAGCTGATGGCTTTGTAATCCCAGCTAAATCCCTGTCACTCTCCCCCACCCCCTTCTCTCCCAGCCACCAACAGGGACACCAAATGAATCAACACTGCCATGTAACCCCTGGACCGGCAGAAAGAGGAGAGCTCAAAGGATGCCTGTTCTGCTCCTGTACCGCAGAGATCAACCCCCCAAAGCAGACACTCCAGAATAGCCCACCTGTGACGCAGGAGTCGCAGGTTCAAGGCCTCTCTCCCCCTGATTCAGGGCAGGATCTTGAACCCGGATCTCTTACATCCCACATGAGTGCCCAAACCACCAGGCTATTGTGGGGACACAGATGTGCTCTGTCTCTCAAGGTCTCTTTTTCATTCCCATGCAGAAAATAAATCTCCAATCCTCTCCCTTTTTTACAGAAAGGAATTTCTGTTTTCCAGCCGGTCCTAATAGTCACTGGGGTGATGGCGAAAGGGAGAGTTTAACCCCTGGTGTCCTGGAGGGACACATACAGACCAGGAGAGGCCTTTGTTCCCCCCAGGGGAAGCCAGGCAAAAAAGTTTAACCCTTTGGGCTCTGAGAGAAGAGATCAATTTGATTGGGAGAGGCCTCTCCATTCTGGGTAGGCCAAGACATTTTGGGGGGGAAGCTGTTAATTCGACAAGCCTGATGTGATCCTTAAGGTGAGCAATTACACAGGAGATGCTGGTTTCTTTCAGGGGGTCTGTTTTCTGGCATAGGCTGCTATTCCCCAATGAGAAGAGTCATCTTTAGTGACGGTTTGGATCTCCCCCTAGGGTCTCCCATAGTGGGTGCAGTTCAAACAAGGCACGTGGATTTTCCCACAGGGCCTGCAGGCTGGGGCAGCATCGCCCTGGGATGCCCCGGATAGAGGGGGTTGGGTTGTCTCTCATGCTTCCCCCTCAGAGCCCTGCAGATTCCTGCCCATCCTTTGCCACTTCCTCATGCCCCACAGCAGCCTTTTTCTGATGAGGGCAAGGGAAGGAGATGACTCTCTTTAGAGCCTAACAACGCTGCTCATTAAGCTTCAGGGAAGGGCGCTGCCAAGCACTCCTCCAGCCCCAGGGGCTGAGGTTGCTGCTCCCCCAGGCTCCCACCAGAAGAAGAGACCCTACTTCTCTTTTGTAGTAAACAGCAGAAAGTACATGGCCTTTCCACAGCCCACCATCATTAGCCCTATTTCACAGATGGGGAAACTGAGCATGGGGAGGTGGGAGGGAGTGACTCAGCCAAAGTCACACAGTGAGTCAGCAGCAGAGATCCAGATGTCTAGGCCCATGCTCTGACCCCTCATCCACACTCCCTCTAATCCCCACATCCCAGCCTGATAGAGTGGGATATCACCAGGCCTTCAGGAGAATATGGGCACCGGATGTTGCTGCCCCAGGTGAGGGATCAGAACAGGGATGGTTTGGTCTCCGAATACCTGCTCCCTTAAAGGTGACACACTCCAGGGTGGGAGCTAGACCCACTTCCCACAGCATTATAGATTTCTCTGATACCTCTGACCAAAAACCCCCAGAGCCCTCCTGAAGCAAAGAAGCTGCAGACAGGATACTACAGTCATGCTACTCCCACCCGGCTCTGCTTAGCTGCTGCCCATGCACTACCAGGCAGGGCAGATCCTGCATTACAGCTGGGTTGGGGCAAAACAGGCTGGGGAGAATGAGGGCGTAGTGGGACCGGCTAACCAAGGAGCCTCACAGACACCAGGGCTCCCATTTGTTTCGGCCTTTTATTCTCTGCATTCAGCCCTTTGTCTGATACATGTTTAACTAGCGCTTCCTGGCAATGAAAGCCGTGAGAGTCTGATCCCGTGCCAACGGGCGGCCTTGCCCTGGGTGACCTACCTTCTGACACCAGTGACACCACCAAGGGAACATACACAGCTCTCACGGGTGACCCTACAATAACGAGGCAGCACGCGCGTGCGTCTCCCTTGGGTGACCCTACCATCACGAGGCAGCCTGCACAGTCCCTGGGAGTTCGCACAAGTTCATATAACAGAAAGGTGGGTGCATAGCCCCAGGGGGGTGGTTGCAAGCACCCTACAGGAATAACGCATGTGCAGCTCACAAGCGACCCTACAATAGCAGCACATTGTGCATAGCCCCTGGTGCTCACAAGCAACCCCACACATTAAAGAAACTAGCACCAGAGCCAGTGTGTCCAAGCAACCCTCCTGAGAATAGCCCCAGGCTCTAGCGCTCACCACCCCGTGATCAGCCAGCAAGGTGCCTGTGTGATGCAGGGGAAGGAAGCTCAGACAGTCACAGAGCAAAGTGCCAGGGTAATAATGGGTGTAACCCTGTGGGTACTGTTATCGCCAGTTAACGGACAGGCTGAGCAATGGGTGGGCAAGGCCGTTAACGGACAGGCTGAGCAACGGGTGGAAAAAACCGTCCCCAAGAGGAAAAGAAAAGGAGGAAGTTGCCAGCTCGACTCATCCAAATACAAGTGGGGGGGATGGGGGGATTGAAATGGCCTCCATCCCCCAGATCTCTTCAGCCCACCTCCCCCTCCCTCAGCTGACCCTCGTGGGGCCCCCCTGATAGAAGAACAAGGGCCCTTGGCCAGCAGGCCCCCTCTGAGCCCTGGACCCCCCCCCCGCTCTCAGGGCACAAAAGAACCTCAACCTCAGCAACAACCTGCTCAGCCCTCAGGACACCTCATGCAGACACTCTCCTCCTTCCCCTCCCCTCCTGGGGGCATCAAACACCTATTATCACTGGGGGGGGGGGGGCTGCCCTGGGTTTGCCCCCCCCAATTTGCAACATACAGCCATCACTCCAGCCACCCCCCCCCCCCAATTCCCCACTGTGGGGAGAGAGACAAACAATCACTCCGCAAATGGAGCTTGATTATTCCCCCTGCCCTCAGCTTTACATAGGAGAGACCAGGGAGATGGGGAGGGGGAGGTTGATTGTAGAGCTGGGAGGGGGGTTACTAGAGAGACCAGGGAATTGTGGGGGAGGGCTGACTGTAGAGCTGGGGAGGTGCGGGCGGAAGAGATACCAGAGAGACCAGAGATAGGAGGCTGATTGTGGGGCTGGGGTGGGGATACTGGAGAGATTAGGGAGATGGGGGGGGGGGGGGAAGGAGCTGATTGTGGGGATACCAAGTATCAGAAGGGTAGCCGTGTTAGTCTGTATCCACAAAAACAACAAGGAGTCTGGTGGCACCTTAAAGACTAACAGATTTATTTGGGCATAAGCTTTCAAGGGTAAAAAACCCACTTCTTCAGATGCATGGTAAAATACCCACTTCTCCATGCATCTGAAGAAGTGAGCTTTTTACCCACCAAAGCTTATGCCCAAATAAATCTGTTAGTCTTTAAGGTGCCACTGGACTCCTCTTTGTTTTTGTGGGGATATTGGAGAGAACAGGGAGATGAGAGGGGGTGGGGGAGCTGATTGTGGGGGTGAGTTGGGGATACTGGAAAGACTAGGGAGCTGGTGGGGGGCAGGGTGATTGTGGAGCTGGGTGGGGATACTGGAGAGACCAGGGAGCTGGGGGGGGGGGGGGGGGATACTCAAGAACGCAGGAAGCGGGGGGGAACCACAAGTGCCAGCGAATGCCCCCTACCCCCGGCACTTCCCACTCTCAGTATCATCACAGCATCGAGCCCCCCCAAGCGCTACAGAAGAGCTGGGTCTTATTATTAGCATCAGCCCCGGGGCACAGGGATCGAGCCCCCCCTCCAGTGACTCACGGCTTTGAGCTGCTCCAGCCGATCCTTCATGGTGCCCCGGCGCCCCGCAGCTCCTCCCAGCAGGTGAAGGCTCCCAGCGGCTCTTCCCAGACGCCCGGCGTCGCTCCAGGAAGTCCTAGCGCCCGCAGAGGCCCGGGGGACGGTTCTTCGCCTTCTTCCCGCCCAGGCTAGAAAGAGGGTGGGAGGCTCATTAGACCAGAAAAAAAATAACTCAAGGTCCGTCCCCTCCTCGTTTATTTTTGGTCTCTCTGCCTCTGCGTGCGGCCGTGCGCAGCGGATTGCGAGGCGCTGCCGAGCTGGCCTGGCCCCAGCTGCTAATCCCCAATGACATACAGAGGAAGGGAGGAGGCAGGAGGGAGGAAAGACACAGAGAGGGGGAGGGGGAAGATGGGAGCCTCCCACTTTACCTGTGCAAGAATCTGCTGCCCCACAATCTCTTAAAGAGCCAGGAGAGAGACAAGGTGGGTGAGCTGGTCTCTGTGGCCGGCAGAAGTTGGGCCAGTCAAAGCTATTACAGTACTTCCCTCACCCTGTCTCTCTAATGTCCTGGGATCCACCCAGCTTCAACACTTAAAGAGACAGGGGGTTGGACTAGATGACCTCCTGAGGTCTCTTCCAACCCTGATCTTCTATGTATCTATGACACAGTCAGGCCAAACTGGGCCCCAGGCTCGGCCCTGATCAGAAACGAAAGAACTCAGAGAAACCTCTCCTGCCATTTTTTCAGCTTGTAATCGGATGGGAATTGTTCAGAGAGCCAGCCTTTGCAACCAAGCGCTTGAGAAACTGAGGCTGAAACTGACCAGGGATCGCCTTGTCTGCTTTCACAGAGGGAAAGGCCCAGAACAAACATGCCATCAGAAAGCTGTTAAAATTCCTTCTGGTTTAATCATTTCAGAGGCCAGTTGCTAAGGCAGGGAAGGAAATTGGGATCCCAGGCATGCAACTGGAACCCTGCGCCCCCACAGATTCCCTGGATCTGCCTGCACAGGGCTCATTGCAGGATCAGGACCTTGGCATTTGGAGTTGTGTTTGTTTGTTTCCAATCCAAAGTGTATGACTGGGTCCCTTTACAGGTCCAGCTGACAGCGTGATTCTGGGAGGGACTGATCCCCAGCTCTTATGAAAGCCACAGGATTTCAGCACCTTTCAGGTCTGGATCCTTAGGGTATGTCTACACTACGGGATTAATCCGAATTTATATAATTCGAATTTGGGAAACAGATTGTATAAAGTCGAATGTATGCAGCCACACTAAGCACATTAATTCGGCGGTGTGCGTCCATGTACCGGGGCTAGCGTTGATTTCTGGAGCGTTGCACTGTGGGTAGCTATCCCATAGCTATCCCATAGTTCCCGCAGTCTCCCCCGCCCATTGGAATTCTGGGTTGAGATCCCAGTGCCTGATGGGGCAAAAAACATTGTCGCAGGTGGTTCTGGGTACAGCCTCACCCTTCCCTCCATGAAAGCAACGGACGACAGACAACCATTTCGCGCCTTTTTTCCTGGGTGAACATTGCAGACTCCATACCACGGCAAGCATGGAGCCCGCTCAGCTCAAGACAGCAGTCATGAACATTGTAAACACCTCGCGCGTTCTCGTGCAGTTTATGCTGAGCCAGGACCAGAAAAACGAGGCGAGGAGGTGGCGGTGACGGCAGCGCAGCGACAAGCGTGATGAGGACATGGACATGGACACAGAATTCTCTCAAACCGCGGGCCCCAGTGCTTTGGAGATCATATTGTTAATGGGGCAGGTTCTATCCATGGAACGCCGATTCTGGGCACGGGAAACAAGCACAGACTGGTGGGACCGCATAGTGTTGCAGGTGTGGGACAATTCCCAGTGGCTGCAAAACTTTCGCATGCGTAAGGGCACTTTCATGGAACTTTGTGACTTGCTGTCCCCTGCCCTGAAACGCCAGAATACCAAGATGAGAGCAGCCCTCACAGTTGAGAAGCGAGTGGCGATAGCCCTGTGGAAGCTTGCAACGCCAGACAGCTACCGGTCAGTCGGGAATCAATTTGGAGTGAGCAAATCTACTGTGGGGGCTGCTGTGATGCAAGTAGCCAAAGCAATCACTGAGCTGCTGCTACGAAAGGAAGTGACTCTGGGAAATGTGCAGGCCATAGTGGATGGCTTTGCTGCAATGGGATTCCCTAACTGTGGTGGGGCGATAGATGGAACCCATATCCCTATCTTGGCACCGGAGCACCAGGGTACCCAGTACATAAACCGCAAGGGGTACTTTTCAGTGGTGCTGCAAGCACTTGTGGATCACAAGGGACGTTTCACCAACATCAACGTGGGCTGGCCGGGAAGGGTTCATGACACTCACGTCTTCAGGAACACTACTCTGTTTAAACGGCTGCAGCAAGGGACTTACTTCCCTGACCAGAAAATAACCGTTGGGGATGTTGAAATGCCAATAGTTATTCTTGGGGACCCAGCCTACCCCTTAATGCCATGGCTCATGAAGCCATACACAGGCAGCCTGGACAGGAGTCAGGAGCTGTTCAACTACAGGCTGAGCAAGTGCAGAATGGTGGTAGAATGTGCATTTGGCCGTTTAAAAGGTCGCTGGCGATCGTTACTGACTCGCTCAGACCTCAGCCAAACCAATATCCCCATTGTTATTTCTGCTTGCTGTGTGCTCCACAATCTCTGTGAAAGTAAGGGGGAGACCTTTATGGCGGGGTGGGAGGCTGAGGCAAATCGCCTGGCTGCTGATTATGTGCAGCCAGACACCAGGGCGATTAGAAGAGCACACCAGGAAGTGCTGTGCATCAGAGAAGCTTTGAAAACCAGTTTCATGACTGGCCAGGCTACAGTGTGAAATTTCTGTTTGTTTCTCCTTCATGAAAACCCGCCCCCTTTATTGACTCATTCTCTGTAAGGAACCCACCCTCCCCCTTCCCCCAGCTTGCTTTCAAACCAAATAAAGTCACTATCGTTTAAAAATCATTTATTCTTTATTAATAGATTATAAAAAGAGGGAGAGAACCCGGGTGGGGTTTGGGAGGAGGATCGGCGGGAAGGAAAAGGCCACTAAAAAAAGGTTAAAAAAATGACAGCCTTTTGCTTGGGCTGTCCACTGGGGTGGAATGAGAAGGTGTACGGAGCCTCCCCCCCCCCCCGCGTTCTTACACGGCTGGGTGTGGAGGCTATGGAACATGGTGAGGGGGGGAGGGGGGTTATACAGGGGCTGTAGCGGCACTCTGTTATCCTGCTGCCATTCCTGAAGCTCCACCAGATGCCGGAGCATGTCTGTTTGCTCACGCAGCAGCCCCAGCGTTGCATCCTGCCTCCTCTGATCTTCCTGCCGCCACCTCTCATCTCGAGCGTCTCTCCTCTCCTCACGTTGGTCCCTCCTGTCCTCATGTTGGTCCCTCATGTCCTCACGTTGGTCCCTCCTGTCCTTACGTTCACTGGCTTCTTTCCTATACTTTGAAACCATGTCCTTCCACTCATTCAGATGAGCTCTTTCACTGCGGGTGGATTCCATGATTTCTGCGAACATATCGTCTCGCGTCTTCTTTTTCCGACGCCTTATCTGAGATAGCCTTCGGGACGGAGGAGGGAGGCTTGAAGAATTTGCAGCTGCTGGAGGGAGGGAAAAAAGGAGAGAATTTTTTAAAAAGATACATTTTGCAGAACAATTCTTATACTCTTTCACAGTGACCAACACTATTCACATTACATAGCACATGTGATTTCTGTGCAAGGTCGCATTTTGCCTCTTAATATTGAGTGCCTGTGGCTTTGCTGCTAGAGATCACAGACGCAGGTCCGGGCAACAGAATTCGGCTTGCATGCGGCCATGGTAAGTCATTGTCTTTCGGCTTCTACGCCCTCCTTTCCCACATACCAAGCAAAGCCAGTTGACTGCTGCGGTTTTCCTGTTAACCTTCAGCAGCAGAAAACAAACTAAGCCCCCTTATCCAATTCTCTGGATGATCGCTTTATCCCTCCCCCACCGCGTGGCTGGTATCAGGGAAGATCCCTGCAGGAACCAAACTAACACCCCCCCACCCCGCCATGAATTCTCTGGGATGATCGCTTTACCCCTCCCCCCACCGCGTGGCTGGTATCAGGGAAGATCCCTGCTAGCCACACATGAAAAGCTCAGCGCCAATTCCCCGCCCCGCGCTTGGCTTACTACAGGGAAGGATTTCTTTTCAGCCACAGGCAAACAGCCCAGTAGGAACGGCCACCTCTGTCCCCTTAATTAAATTCCCGTATTTCAACCAGGTTACCATGAGCGATATCACTCTCCTGAGGATTACACAGCGAGATAAAGAACGGATGTTGCTTGAATGCCAGCAAACACCGGGACCATATGCTGCCAGGCTTTGTCATGCAATGATACCAGATTACTTGCTGCAAGCATGGCGCGGTCAAGTGTCCTACCATGGAGGACGGAATAAGGCTGCACTGCCCAGAAACCTTGTGGCAAGGCTTTTGGAGTACCTCCAGGAATGCTTCATGGAGATGTCCCTGGAGGATTTCCACTCCATCCCCAGACATGTTAACAGACTTTTCCAGTAGCTGTACTGGCCGCGAATGCATCCCAAGTCCTCAGGGCAAAGTAATCATTAAAAAACGCTTGCTTTTAAAACAAGTTTTATATTTTAAAAGGTAAACTCACCTGAGGTCCCTTCCATGGGGTCATGGTCTTGGATACTGGGTTGGGAGGGTACTTCAGTCAGGCTGAGAAAAGATCCTGGCTGTTGGGGAGAACGGAGTGCTGGGTGCTATCCGCAAGCTCGTCCTCTTCCTCCTCCTCCTCTTCCCCATCCGCAGAATCCTCAGGTGTAGCTGATGAGATTATCCCCGCCTCGGAATCCACGGTCAGAGGTGGGGTAGTGGTGGCAGCCCCCCCTAGTACTGCATGCAGCTCGGCGTAGAAGCGGCATGTCCGCGGCTCTGACCCGGAGCGACCATTTGCCTCCTTTGTTTTTTGATAGGCTTGTCTGAGCTCCTTGACTTTCACGTGGCACTGATCTGAGTCCCTATTGTGGCCTCTCTCCATCATGCCCTTGGAGATTTTTTCAAAAATTTTGGCATTTCGTCTTTTCGAACGAAGTTCTGCTAGCACTGAATCCTCTCCCCATATAGCAATCAGATCCAGTACCTCCCGTACGGTCCATGCTGGTGCTCTTTTTCGATTATCAGCCTGTATGGTTACCTATGCTGATGAGCTATCTGTGGTCACCTGTGCTTTCCACACTGGGCAAACAGGAAATGAAATTCAAATGTTCGCGGGGCTTTTCCTGTCTACCTGGCCAGT